AGTGAGTCCCGTTGCCTCCAGAATGTCGAGAGCATACTTCCTTTGACAAAGAGAAATACCATTCTTGGATCTAGCCACCTCCATACCAAGGAAATATTTGAGTTTACCAAGATCTTTGATGGTAAATTTGTCGTGTAGAAATTCTTTTAACTGTTGAATGTCCAGGATATTGTTGCTTGCTAAAAGGATATCATCCACATATACCAATAATGCAATAAAGGAGTGAGCAGATTTCCTGATGAAAAGAGAGGAATTAGAATGACCTTGTGTGAAGCTAAAGCTGAGTAGGGCATTGGACAGTTTTGCAAACCACTGCCTGGAAGCTTGCTTTAAGCCGTAAAAACTTTTTAAAAGCTTGCAAGCATTGTGACCTGCTGTGGTAGCCATGACAGGAGATAAATCCATGTATACCTCCTCATGTAAGTCACCATAGAGGAAGGCATTGTTGACATCAAGTTGGTGTAAATGCCAATTATTGACAGCAGCCACAGCAAGAATCAAACGAATGGAAGTGATTTTTGCCACAGGAGAGAAAGTGTCGAAAAAATCCATCCCTTCTTGCTGGGTGTATTCCTTTGTCACAAGTCGGGCTTTGTGCCTCTCAATAGTTCCATCAGCCCTATATTTGATGGGAAATACCCACCTGCAGCCAATAGTTTTCTTGTTTAGAAGGAGAGTTACCAATTTCCAAGTGTTGTTTAATTCTAGAGCATTGATCTCACTATGCATGGCAGCTTGCCATTCAGGAAATTTAGAAGCTTGTTTGAAAGTTCTGGGCTAAAGAGGTGAAGAGATGGAAGCCAAGAATGGAGTGCCTACAGAGGAAGAGCAATTAGGAGAAAAATGGATATTACCTGCTATTGTGGAACAGCCATAAGAAGTCAATTCTTGGGATGACAATTGAGCGGAGGAAACTGTACCACAGTAATAATCTTGCTAATGGCTTGGAGTTTGGCGAATTCTGTTTGATTTTATGGCTGGTGGATGATCTGCATGAGATGTTATATGTTGATCATCAGTTGATGGTGGCTCAGATGAGAGGTGGTATGCAGGAGATGAAACAGGAGAGGGATCAGTATCTGGTGAGACAACATGATCTACTGATTGTGAAGGAGGTAAAGGAAGGAAATCTGGAAAAGGATCCTGTATAGGAAACAAGGAAGAGGGTTGGTCAGAGTGTGTAGGAATATGTTTGAAAGGGAAGACGAACTCATGAAATGTAACATGTTTGGAGACAAATATTCTATTTGTGTTAATGTCCATGACCTTATAACCTTTAAAATCAAAAGGGTAGCCGAGGAATAAGCACTTGGTGGCTCTTGAATCAAATTTTTGTCTGTGGCGTGTAAGGGTGGAAACAAAACAGAGACACGCAAAGACTTTTAGGTGGGAAAGATTTGGAGGTTTATCAAATAACACTTCGAAAGGGGATTTATTTTGGAGAAGAGGTATAGGAATTCTATTGATGATATGAGCTGCAGTTAGTACACAATCACTCCAGAATTTGAGAGGTAGGTTGGCTTGAAACAACAAAGCTCTAGCGGTACACAAAAGATGCTGGTGTTTTCTTTCCACAATTCCATTCTGCCGTGGAGTCTCTACACAGCTCTTTTGGTGTAGAATGCCGTATTTATGGTAGAATTTTGTGAGACAAAACTCAGGCCCATTGTCTGACCGTATGATTTTGACAGAGGTAGAGAATTGAGTTTCCACTATTCTGCGGAAAGTTTTGAGTAAAGAGGGAACATCGGATTTATTTTGCATCATATAAACCCATGTGCACCGTGTGAAGTCATCTACTATGGTCAGGAAATACTTGAAATTGGAATAAGAGATAGTGCTAAAAGGTCCCCAAATATCACAGTGAATTAAATCGAACTTTTTATCTGATCTGTGAAGTGATACAGAAAATGGAAGCCTCTTTTGTTTTGCTAAGGGGCAAATGTCACGGACATGTACAATCAAAGGTAATAAAAGGCTCAATCTGCTTGAGAAGAATCAACTTGGAGTTGGAAACATGTCCCAATCTGTATTGCCATATGTCAAGGTTCTGGTGAGTTATGGCTGAAGCAAGTGGTGCAGAGTTGGATTGATTTTTGGTCTGGATTTGCGGAGAAACTTGGATTAGATGGTACAGTCCTTCTATCTCAATAGTAGTCCCAATCGTCTTCCTCGTTAGTTGGTCCTGCAAGGTGCAATAGTAATCGGTAAAAGTAAGATAGACATTAGACTGAATGGTGAGTTTAGACACAGAAATCAGATTGAATGAAAAAGATGGAATACATAGAACATTATGCAGGAAAAGAGAGTTAAAAAGGCATATAGTGCCACTATGAGAAGCTGGAATCCTAACACCATTAGGGAGATAAACAAAAGTATTAACAACTTGAGGGATAGAATAATACAGAGAAAGGGAACAGTTCATATGATACGTAGCACCTGTATCAAGAATCCAGGAATAGTTTGATTTTAATGCAGGTGAGAAAGAACTGCAACATATAGCATGTACTACAGGTCGTGTTTTACCAGAAAACTGAGAAGTAGAAGCAAAATTGACAGTTGGTTGAGTGGTAGAAGGATCAGATTTTGTCGAATTAGCAAGTGTCATGAGTTTGTGAAATTCCTCTGGAGTGAAAGATAACTTTGGTTGCTCTTTGGTATTCTGATAGGTAATCTCCTCTGTAACTGCAGCATGTGCTGAGGATCTGCCAGAGGAATTTTGTTTTCCTTTTTGTCCTGTCCAGTTAGGAGGGTATCCTTGGAGTTGATAGCATGTATCAACCCTGTGTCCAGTATAACCACAATGAGTGCAAAGTGGTGATGGAACTTTGGATCTGTCTCTGTCCCTGAATGACTTTGGATGATAATTTTGATGTCTGTTGCGCTGTGCCATTAAAGCATGTGTCTCAATATGTGAAGTAGAATTAGTGAGCATCATCTGACTCTCTTCTTGAAGCAACAAGGATAATACCTTAGCCATGCTAGGCAAGGGAACCGTGAGGAGGAGTTGGCTTCTAACAGAAGCAAAAGAGTCATTCAAGCAAACTAAAAACTTCAATACATAATCAGATTGCTGACGATTCTGCAAGAACTTAAATAAATTACAAGTGCAAGTTGTCATTATTCCACATGTGTAGGTTGGGAAAGGTCTGTAACTAATGTATTCATCCCATAGAGTTTTAAAGGAGTTGAAATACTCAGTTACGAACATGGAATCTTGGCTTATGCAGCTTAGGGATTTTTCAAGATGAAACACCCATGGACCATCACTTCTGAGATATCTGGTCTTAAGCTCATTCCATAATTCAGTGGCTGATGCAACAAATAGAAGGCTATTGCGGATGTCCTTGGAAATAGAATTCATCAGCCAAGAAAGAACCAGATTATTTGCTCTCAACCAAGCTGTGTGATTAATTGACTGATCAATAGGAGGAGGAGAGATGGATCCATCGATAAACTGGACCTTATTCTTGACCGTCAAGGCTATAGTGATGGATCTACTCCAGGCGACATAATTGCTTCCATTGAAAATTTCCAATACCAGCATAGCACCAGGATTATCACTGGGATGAAGGTAATAAGGACTTGAGGAATCATCTGAGGGGTTTATGACTGAATTACTCGAATTTGTAGTAGGGTTCACTGAAGAGTTATGAGAACTTATCTTTAGAGAATGGAGTGTAAAGAGGAACAAGCAGCTTCAGAAAGAATATCTGAAGGAAACGATCAATTTACTAGAAAGAAAATTGCGGAAGTCTAAATCTCTGATACCATGATAAAGTTCAGTATGAAGAAAGAAGCTGAGAGAAAGATGAAGTCACTTTATTGATAAACTTGATCGAATGACAAATTACATCAGATAGCAGCAAAATTTATACAAGGAATTACCGGCTAGAAATAACTACTGAGCTAACAAGATAACAGAAGTTGTGAACTAATTGGAACAGCAATTGACTCGTAACAGAATGCAGGTAGCTGCAACTAAGTTTCCCTCTTTTCTTTTGCTTTATCATTTTCTTCTTTTTGTTTTATTTCCATGTTATCGATTTTGGATTCAATACTCCAACAGAACCCAAGAAAGCTGTGGGGTATAATCGTAAAGTCTCTTTGACAATGGATTGAATATAAGCCAGTTTGTTGATATCTGATTCTTTTACTCGCCTTTCCTTTCCAACATGAATGTCCAATTCTTCTTGAGCCTTTTTCAATACATGGCAGTTGTTTAGTAGCAGGGCTACTTTCCATAGTAGCATGACCGGAGTTGTGTCACCTCCGCCAGCAATTAAACTCTAATAATGATAAGATAAGAGTTACTACTAAAATAAGTAACGTTTTTACTTAAAGTAAGAGAAAAATAACTAACCTTGGCCCGCTTTGATTTAACTAAAAAGTTGATGAAAATTAAAGTCAAAATTAACAATTAATTCTAACCACATTTTATGGGATTCACAACTATTATTTAAATTTATTAAAAATCTATTTTGTAGAAAACCAAACAAGGATTTATATGTTCAGATGAAAGAGTAACTATTACCTAATTTTTAGCTTGACGACCAAATATTCTCTTAATTATTTTGCCTCATAATTCTCTCTTATATAATTATGAAATGGTATGGTCACTTCCTTAATGGCTTAGACATTTTATGCTTACAGAATTATTGTCACATTATACATTCTATTGACATGTTAGATGTATTGGATTTGATACTATTGAAAACATCAAGGAAAAAAATGAATATGTGCACGCCATGCCATGATCATCTATTAGTGAATATCAAACATATATTGCGTAGTTCTTAATGCTTTCCAATTTTTGGATTTCTTGAAAATCAATAAATTTCAGTTTTTTTTTCCTAAAATAGACCGATATAAAATATCAAGAAAGAAAAAACACATCAAATTTAGAAAGGTGAGATCAAATCAAGAAATGGCACCAAAAAAAAATAATAAAATAAAATAAAACTTACTAGGCATGTGAATTTGATGATTGTATCAAGATCTTAATCTTGAAGGTTTGTGCCTTCTACAGCTGAAAGCATCACATCCATGAAATCCCGCTCACAACCAGAATTTGCCTTAAGCTTGTGCTCTTCCAACCATTTCTCAACAATTTTAACCATTTCTTTTCCAGTTTCTTTCATTTTTTTCTCATATCCACCTATATCCAACCATTTAAGATAAGGGATATTATAACCCACAATAAAAAATCCTGCAAAATGAGAGAAATCCCTCATTACTTTCTGGCATTGCCTTACCTCTATTTTATCCCCATCGGCAGTTGCACCAAAATATCTTTTCCCAGCAACCATTCTGAGAACAACATTCAAATTCAAGTCCCCGAACCACTGCTTCATTTCCACCAAAATCCGACCTGGCCCATCTTTCTTCTTGTTCCAGTACTTGTAAAGCTCTTTTGTTTATACCTATTAAAGACAGTGTTGGATTTTCTTAACTCAAATTATCTTGGATTTTTTAAACAAAAAATTTTTTCCTTCTTTGTACAAGTTTTTTACTAGAAAAATATTGGTAAAATATTGTTTCCTTTATTCCATGTGATTTTTTATCTTGTTGCCATCTTCTAGGGTTTAGCATCCACCATTATAAATACTAGACTCTTTTCACAAGCTTTGTATTACTGAAATATAGAATAATTGTGTAGGCATAATTATTGCATTTGTTTTCTCCATATTAATCAATTGAGTAGACTCCATTCCTCTGCCAATTAATTCTTTGTCATTTTATCTTGTTGTTTGTTTGCGATCATATACTCCATATCGTGCCATATATATTACCTCGATCTTGTTTATTTCCCAACAAGTGGTATCAGAGGTATTGGTTGTAATTTGTTCGATGTTTTTGTTATTGATGATAGCCTTAAAGTATGAAATAATGCTCTTGAATCACAATACAATATTTTCATTATGACAAGTGAAGATGCGAGTACAACTTGCGCAGATGGATTTGGATGATGTGTTGTTGAGATTTGACAAAATGCCCACAACTTAGACGGCGGAAGGAACGGAAGGCACTTTCACAAATTCATCTTCATCTCTCTAACAATTTTTTTCAAGACATTTTAAAAGAGAAAATGGCAGTTGCATTGTGGTTGAAGTTAGAGCAATTGTACATATCTAAAAGTCTTACAAGCAAATTACATCTGAAGCAGAGGTTGTATTCTCATCGCATGGCTGAAGGCGGATCTTTGGAAGATCATCTGTCTGTGTTCAAAGATATTGTTACTGATTTGGAGACTTTAAATGTAAAGTATGATGAAACAAATTAGCCTTAATCATTTTGTACACTACAACAAAATTAGTCATTTACAACACTTAAAAGGCAACATTTATCGATAAATGTTGCCAAAAGACTCTTTTGGCAACATTTTAGTAAGTGAATGTTGTCATTGGTTAGTATAAATGAGTTTTAGCAATATTTTATAGAAATATATTGCGATAGACCCATTTTTGCAACGTTTATTGAGTGTTGCGGAAGGTCTCACTTTTCACAACATTTGTCAAACGCTGCGAAAGGTCTCACTTTTCACAATGTTTGACAAACATTGCAAAAGGCTTTTCTTTTAGAACGTTTGTCCGTTTGACAAACGTTGCGAAAAGTGAGACATTTTGCAACGTTTATTAAATGTTGCGGAAAGTCACTTTCTACAACGTTTATTAAATGTTACGAAAAGTTTCGTAGTCTTTTAAATTATACAAGGGAGGATACAACCTCAAATTAGCCAAACTCTACCCTTATTCACGCCCTCAAACTTGCCCATTCTGCCGACTCACCTGTGGGTCCATTTTCCGGCAACCAATGGCCGACCAAACTGCTGGAACCCTGCCTCTTGGAGTATATGGAGTCTTGAGGGTTCGAAAGGGTGTTCGTGTTATAATGGAGGGATGAAAAAGGTTCCAATTATACATTGTATAAGGTCGGGCAAAATTTGTGAAGAAAAGTCAGTTCAGATTTAGTACCATGGTGGAGATTCAGTTTGGTACTGTACTTTTGGGATTTGGTTCGGGGTCCATATTGAAGAATACTACTTAGTTGGATTTGGAGGATATGGATAATTCCTCTTTGCCACCATTACCTACGATTCTGTTGTATTCAACTATTAGGGATAGTCCTATTAGATATAGGTAAGTGGATGCTGATTCAGTTGTATCTATTTTTAGCAGTTTTGAAGCTGTTGAGACTAGTCAGGGGCCTTATATGAAATCATTGGGAGTTGATTCTGCTACAGGGTGTGATTTTACATTGTTTGGTCGGGAAACCCTGTGTTTGGATTTATGTATCCATGTTGGTTACCATGGAAGAGAATGAATATTTGTGTGTTGGAGAAAGTTTGGTTCTTATTGAAGAGTTCGAATTTTTTGTTGCATTCAGATTTATTTTTTTAGGTGGAGAAATCTTGGAGATTCGTTCGTTGCATTGGAATTTGTATCAAGGTGGAGATTGTTGAATTTTTTTACCCAAATTAGGTTAGATTTTTTTTAGAAAATATTTTTTTCCTTCTTTGCACATGTTTTTATTGAATTCCTTACTCTACGTGATTTTTTATCTTGTTTCCATTTTTATAGTATTTGTAGGCTTTGGCATCCACCCTTATAAATACCAGATTTTTTCTCTAGTTTTGTATTACTGAAATAAAATTATTGTATTTGTTTTATCCATAGTAGTCAATTGTGAAAAATTGGATATCGCTCTGGATACTACTTGAAAGTTGTGGATTACCAAATTAATGGCTACTAAGTTACCAAATGGTTATTGATTATTTGTTTTTAGTTTTGACCCTATGTGCGAAATTAATCAATCAAAAGCAACAAGTCATTTTCCCTATGTTTGAATACCGCAATAATAAAGAAAGTAATAAATAACGAACACCAAAATGATGACGGAGAAACCCCAACTGGGTAAAAATTTCGGGACTAAATCAGTTACCTCCATTATAGACAATACGGAATAAGTTACGGTCAGATGCTTTATAGCAACTCCACTAGACTTTCTTGATCTATTTCTTGCTAACTCCAAGGTTTGCTCCAAGACCTGCTCCAAGATCTTCTACAATTGTCTCTTCCAAGTAGAATTTCAAGAATCGGCTCCAAGGCCTTGTGCTCTTCCTGCGCTTGTAGTCCAACCTCTCTCTACCTCTAGCTACCTCTGAAGTTCAACTGAGAAAGTACCTTCCTATGACCAATAGGAAGTAGGTGGTGTTTTGGTTTAATATTTTTGATGTTTTTTCCCGAACAGGTGGTTATATGATTTCAAGAAGAAATTATGAATCACAATGAAAGAATATGTTCTTGGATCTTTAGAGAATAAGATGGGGCAATGAAAATAATGAAAACCACCTTTTGAATTTCGTCCAATGGTCTTGATATTTATAGGAGAGGGTAATTGGGTTGAATGGCTCAGCGACAGGTGAGCAATGAGGATTCTGTTTTTATCGCTTGAGCAGTATCCGACGATAGGCTAGCGAAAATGCGGCGCCGTGATTCTCCTCTTTTCATTCTCGAACCTTAGAATTCATAACTTAATTTATATAAATTGAACCCTAGGTCCTTGACTTTTACAACACATTACAAATTAGTCCTTTTGTCCACAGAATTACTAAGACTAAAAACCTAATAAACTCTCCATCGATATTTTGTGACAAAACTACACAATAAGTTACGGAGCTAAAAAAATCTAAATTACCCAAGCTTCATCAAAATGTATGTCTCTTGCATTTCTTGTTAAACCTGTCTTCTGAAAGCACGTGAAACAAGAAATATAACAATTAAACACATGATACCAAAACTAACTAGATTGAGACGTAACACTAATGTTTATCAAAACACCAACAAAAACATTAGCATCACAGAAACATCAAAAACCCAACCAACCAAACATTATGATATGGAATGCAATGAAAACAATTTATCTCCCTTTAAATCAAAATTCAAAAATTTTACTTCACTCTCCCCTCTCTCCCTTTTTACTAATTTTTCTCTCCCCCTTTTTGTTACAAATGACAAAGGGATAAAAAAAATTTAACATATAATCACTCAAAAATGCACTCATTAGCATGCATAAGTATAATCAATATACAGTAAACCTTCCCACATACTCAGTTCAAGTTAACATAGAATAATTGTATAAATGACCCATGTGTGTAAGCAGGACTCCAAACCTTAATTTTGTGAGAAATGACATGCTAAACATTACTTCCAATAAGTGCATTCCTCTACTTATGAAAGTCAAATCATTTAAAACGAATTAGGACCTTTAAATAAAAGTTCATTTGGTATTAATATTTTATTTTCTCCCTCTAATTTTTGAGCATATTTTATTTTTCACATTTATCAATATTTTAAGCTCATAATTATTTTTTACATTTTAAGTGGAGGCCATTCTCCATTAAGCTACTAAAATGACCCATATAGCGAGCTTTAAATCGGTTAACCCAAATCAGTTGATCATAGGCATTAGGTTATGAGAAACCTCGTAGGTTTAATTGCACGAGTCAAGTAGGCTCAGAAAAAAATATAAGATATTGAGCTTTTTATTATCGGAGATAAACTTGAGTTTAGATCTAATAAATAAGGTTAATTCATGTTCAAAGTCACCTTACTAAAATGTGATTGCCATCTCAAATTACGGTTGAATCCCACTAACAATATCATAATGTGTACATTGCAGATGGTACATGAAAACACATATATTAAGTACTCCATAATAACCTTAGCTAACAATAGGTATTATGTTATAGCTCATTGATTAAACGTATACTTGATCACAACAAACAAATTTAAGTATATTATACTGTAAAAACAATTTCCCGCATTTTTATTTTTTACTTTTTCTTTTTTCTTTTTTTTTTTTCTTGTTTTTATTTTAAAGTATGAATGCACTAATCACGCAAAAAAAATGTCAAACAAAAAAAATGCATGAGTTTACTACCTAAAAAACAAATAAACAAAGATGATGCATGCATAAATCAATATCACATAATGATACATGCACCCAAAATACCTAATTAATTAGGTATGCAAATGCTCTTACCTTTAAAAGCACTGTGATCTATTTCGAAAATTTTTAGATCACTTTTTTCACCCAAATTTGCCTAGTGACAGGAATATTTCAGTCAACTGTGTTATTAACTTGGTCAATTGACTTACCCGATTAGTAAGAAAGTCAATCTGACCAACAAACTCCTAATTTTTATTGCTATTTAAGTTCCGATTTCTATTTCTGTTCAGAAAATGACGATATCTAGGCATTATGTGTCCTAACTCACCGCAATGCAAACATGTAGGGATAAACCTAGGACCAAATATATGTGATCGCTGACGTCTATTCCTAGGTTAGCGAG